AATCCAGCAACTCGAACTCCTCAGAGTCTAAACTCAATCAGCAAAAACCCAATCTGTAGTTACTGAAATATGACTGGTAGGTCAAGTGTCCTCAAAAAGAGTGCCTGGGGCATCCCAGATGCAGAACAGGGCATGGCAAGGAACAAATGAGGCCAGAATTTGATGCCAGCACTCATTAAAGACTTCATTCATTCTAACTCACTAAACAACTATTCTTCAAGTGGCCCAACTGCTATTTGTTTGATGTCTGCTAGCAGTAAGTCCTGCAATGAAATCAGTAGATAGGTGTGGGCTGCTTTTGTAGACACGTCAAGTTGAATATTCTAATCAGACATTTGCCCCCAAAATGCAAGCAGGGAGAGAGAGGGGATAAATAAGTTCAGGCTACAGAATAACTATCAGTTGTCAGGAATTACTACTCATCAACCCTACATGTGAAATAAGCTCTTTAACTGCTGGATAAAGTGAATTTCCTTTCTTTGACAGCTTCTTCTATGGCTGAAAAAGAGAAAAAAACAATACTGCTAAAAAAGTTTTCTCTTAAATGTCATAACAACTTTAAGTGAAACATTTTTTCTTTCATATCTTCAGTGGCTGAAATAGACAACCAATCCAAACTGCTTACATCTGCTTTAGTCTGCATATATCTATTCAAGTGAGACTACACACTGGAGATGGAGGTCAAGTTTGTATCAAGGGCTGAATAGTATTAATCAAGTGATGTAAGAGTGTTTTGTCACCTATATCATCATCAATAGTATTTTAACTGCCATCTCAGGACACACCAATGTTACCATCAATTGTGTTATTACCATAATCACACTAGGATGTGTCTTTGTTTTATATGCTTTTAAATAATTAGCAAAATACACAAGAAAAGACAGTAGTTAAAATTTCTATCTGACATTATGCTTGGAAAAATAGCAGGGAAAATCTTCCATTTTCCATGGACCCTCTAAGTTGAGATTTCTCAATGTGCAACTTTAAAAAAAAATCTCTCACATCATTATGGCATCATCTTCCCAAAAGAACTTGATAAAAAAAACACTACACCCAATACTTGAATTGAATCACTTTCTTTAGAAACTTAAAAGGCAGAATCTAAAATTGCTGGTTGGCCATGGTCCCTATGAGCAGATGGGGAACAGCAAGGGCCAGGGTAGTAGGAGCAGATATATAGAACTGAGATTTTCTAAAGACAGTGACCATGAAGACATGAAAAAAAGATGGAGAGGGCATAACAGGGAGCCTGAATGAGAAGTGAGTAAAACTTGGAGCAAGAAGGTAGAGGAAGCAAGAAAAGACTGGCAAAAGGAGAAGAGAAATTGGAGAGTGGGTGGGAGGAAGAACACGTGAGAAAGAAGAGCATTAAACTACAGCACATATGCCTAAACCCATGAAATTAACATATTGAAAATATCCAGTGCTTCCTTAAAGAGAAAACAGTGGTTGGATCAAGTGGCTGGTCCTCATAGATGAGGACGCCAAGTGACACATGGTGGTAGGCAGCCTCTAAAAAGGCTCCTGCCATACTGTCCATGGATAATCCACTCCCTCTGAATGTGGGCATGGGCCAGGCCTACTGACTCATTTCTAACTGAGAAAACAACGGCAAAAATTGATGGGGTGTCATTTCCAAGATTCAGTTACAAAAAATGTTCTGGCTTCCATGTTGCTCACCCTTTCTTGCTTTCTCTCACTTGCTTACCCTAAGGGAATGCCAGCTGCTGTACTGTGAGCTACACTTTTAAAGGGACTACATAACAAGAAACTGAGGGAGATGAGATCACTGGCCAACAGCCATGGAGGAAACGGAGCCTGACAGCCTACCAGGGAAGAACACCCAAGGAGCTGAACCCTGAACTACCTTGGTAAGCTACACGAGAACCCTCCTCCTGCTGAGCTTTCAAATGAGACTGCCCCTGTGGGTAACACTACTGTGACTCTGTGCAAGTCTCTGAGATAGAAGCACCTCAGCCACTTGTCTTTAGTCACACAAACTATGGGACAATGACGATTTGTGATTCCAACTGCTGAATTTCATAATCATTTCCTTGCATGACAGTGGATGAGTAGTGTGTTCATTTAACAGAAAAAATAACTTTGAGCCAGATTAACTCCAGATTTGTAATGAATTATTAAGGTAATCCTAACAGGATTGAATTTGGAGACCTACCTATAGGAAAGGTACAAGTGACACTTATATTAGTAGCGAAGCTTCCCTTGTATTTTGCATAGTGACCTGGATTTGAACAACTTTGGGCCAGGTCTCTACTCACGTTTAATACATCTGAAGCAGTCTTTTCTTGTGGAAAATGGAGCTTGTAATTATCCTGGCTTGTCTGAACTGTCCTGAGATTAGTTTTCATCATGTGACAAAAACTATTTTGGATAATGTAAAAAAAAATCACAATATAAGTACTATGGACACCAGAAGAGTCTCACTCACTGAAATTTCTCCAGGATAGTAGCATTGTAAACATTTGCAACTCTCCAGGATAGTAGCATTGTAAACATTTGCAACTCCTTTAAAAACTGCTTCCTCTTTTTTTTGTAAAACTTTACAATATACATTGTACTTTTTAATTTTTGTCATAGTTATCTTATTTTTTTTTCTAATGCTTTCTTCCACTGATGCCCACCTCAAAACAGACAATTTAGTGTATAATAAAGATGTGGTCAAGTACTTCTAAGATTATCTTGTTCATTATTTTAAAGGCATATATCTTGGCGAGCTCCCCAGATACATAGTCTGAGGTACTTGCTGAAATGATCTAGTCAGAAAGAGTTCTCAAAAGAAGAGGGAAACAAGAAGGGGAGAAAACTGAACAACAATGTGAAACCTGCAAAAGCAGACTAGAGTCCATCCCTAAGCCCTGAACCCCAAAAATCATACCTTATATTTGGTAGATTTCGAGGCAAAATCACTGGCCTTCCTTAAACTTCTTCCTACCTATTTTCCGGTCAGGCATTGGCTTGATGACAGACTCACCACACTCAAACCATCTACACGGATTTAAATCTAAATGCCAATCACTACGAGAGTCCTAGCAGCATCTACTAAAGGGTGTATACTGTGTGCTGAGTTCATCCCCCCCTCTTTGGTGTATTATAGTCATTTTTGCAAATGGGTCTTGATATGCTAAACAGTCTTAGTACTCGGTGGTTTTATACACCAGCTGAGTTAAATGAGACAGCAGAAAGAGTGGCAGTGTGGAAAAGTAAACTGTCTCCAGTCGGGGTTGCAAAACTGAATTTAAATCAGATAAAAAAAAGAAACGGGAACATTGGAGGAGTCACTCCTAAAATACAATCATGAAGAAATGTATGAACTTGGTCCCTGAACAAGGCTGAGGCATAGAAACCACCCAGAAGTGTGGTTCCTCAAAATGCCCCCAGAGAAGACACAGGGGCGTGTCAGCGAGGAGTTCGGGAAATGGGAAGATTCTTGAAAGAAGCAAAGGCCAAAGAAGCCAAATCAGTGGCCAAGGGCACGGGAGGAAGGAAGGAAGAGATACTCATCGCCTGAGAGGAACAATGAAGGCAGGAATATGTGTAAACAGTTTACGCGGGCGGGGTCCTCGAACTCCGTCCCCTGACAAAGCCTCGCAGTTTTCCCATCAAGCTTCTCTCTATTTCTCAAACCTGACTGGGCCCACTCTTCCTTATAAATTATTTACGTTTGAAAAGCTTCATCTTGAAACAGAAGATGGCAAAAAGTCTGTTTACCCCACGGTTATTACTAACACTTCAGCCTCTGCTTCCTGGAAGGGAAGATTGAGGGCGAGGTGGTCTTCGTCGGAAGTGTATTTTCACTTCATTAGCCTCGTAGACATTCTGAAGCTTCCAAAACACTTGGGAAGCCTCACAGAGGAGCTGAGATGAGAATGTCAGGTCCGCACAGCTCAGCCTCCCGCCTCCCAGCACGGTCGTGTGTTCATTGCCAGCCCTCGTTTGTGTTTCTGACATTAATTAATTTTGGCTTTTTTAGTATATCTGGAAAAGACTGGAGATTCTCATGTAAAACTTTACAGTGGCCATACTACTTTAAGCAGAATTCGGTCCCTTTCCATCATTCTCAAGCATGAGTTACCCACTTTTTAAAATTATTTCAACCAGCACATGTTTTTATGTGTGACAAAAGTGAAATGTAAACGTGGGTTTAAGGTCATTGCCCAGCTTGCTTTCTGTAACAACATTTCTGTTGGTTTTTAAACGTATATTGAAACAGCATATTAAATTCAGTTCTGACAGCATATAAAGATATGGGCTTTTCTAGACACATAAGCAGAGTCTTTTTTTATGGGCTCATAAAGGCTAGAATTAAGGAATAGTTAAGTAGTGGGTAATTCATAGAACAATATCTCCCATCACTCAGTGAACATAGAGAGCAACCACAATTTATTCTTCTTCAATATCTTCCCCTCCATTTTTTATATTCTTTGGAGGTGAAAAGTATGTAGAAAAGACCTAAATACATTTTTTTGTTATTATTGAACTATCAAAGATATACTCTCTTTGGGACTGCCTTCCCACCCTCATCCTGTATATGTTAACCCACTTCAGAGACTGGCGAAATGAACCCAAAATGCCAACTTACTATTTGCATTATAAATGGAGACACAAAGGGATATTTTAAAACTTTTGGTTGATCTAGCATATCAAAGATTTCTTTCTAAGCCACTTCAGTGACTGCATTGAAGTAAACTGAAAGCAACAGCTTAAAAGTGTCTTTTTTAAAGTCATAAGAGAAACAGCTTATTTCCATGGAAATCTTCAGTTTACTCTCTGACCTCCCCCACCCTGTTCTGAGTTGCTTCTCTTTCTTACCCTCTTCTCTAGACACAAGAGTCAAACCAAAGGGAATCCAGAAATGTCCACATTCAAGTGTTGAGTTAGTTCTGACTGTCACGCACCCATCTCCCTCACCTTGTCATATTCCTAGCCCACCTCCCAGCAGGGAGTTGACCCCATCATTTTTATCATGCTGAGTTACTTACCCATGCCAGCTTTGGCTTTTGCCGCATGCTTTGGAATGACTTCTCCTGCTTTGTGAACTATTCAAAAAGCCTGATTGTCCACGCTGAGGCAGATATAAGAGTAAGGCTGAGGATCTGCTTCAGCAAGAAGTTGCCAGAGCTACGCCATCTCCACAGCTTTCTGACCATCCTTTCCTACTCCACAATCTCGTTTTTACTCTGTTTTCATAAGAAAATGAAAATTAATTGTGAGTGAATGGCATGTTGAAGTAATAAGGTACCTACTGCCCAGGATGGAGTCTTCCATCCTCTTCTCAATACTCAGGCTGCTGGGTTACTGGTAGTGACTGAAAGAACCTAAGTTTTCCCTCTTGCATTGTCTTGAGCTAAGAAAATGATTAAGAATTATAAAATACTTGCAGAAGGAGATCTTAGTACAGGATAAGGAGGGGAAGGTTCCTTAGTCAAACTCTAAAAAGTAAGATGCACACCATTGCTGAGATCTCTTTTGGGCGCTGCCTATATTGGATCATATGTCCTTTCAAAGTGTTGCTGGAACTACATACTCTTGAGATAAGATATCCTATTATCCTATGTTCCTCTCACTTCAAAGTGTTACTTAAGCTGCCCTATTGTAATAGTTAACAAGCCCTATCCATAACAGCAAGCAGCTTCAGAAGCATCGCAAACTTTCATTATTCACAATTAATCATGCTACACTTCTATTAAAATTTTATAAGCAAGTCTTAACATAATTTATATTAATAGAAAAATAAAGGTTCAAATATCTGTGACTCTGGGTTTTTGTTTTTTTCTGTCAATTACCATTTCTTGGATATGAAAAGTTGAGTGCACATAATTCTGATTATAATTTCACCAACTAGTTCACTGTTACACAGTTGGCCAAATGGACTGTTACAACTCATAACTTTCCAACTGCATGTATACACATACACACACACACACACACACACACACACACACACACACACACTTAATCACTGAGAGAAAGGAGGAGTAAATATTTCCATAGTATAATATTAAGAATAAATTTTGGATAAGACCGGTGAAGGGGGATGCTAACACTGAGATTTAGCAATATAAAGTTTTTAGACTGGAGGATCAGCCTTTGTCTCTAAGTTAGGGAATACAGTATGAAGCCATTTGAACTCCATAACAAAATTTGGTTTCTAGGGTGAATTGATTTGGGATTTGGGTTTGTGAAGCTGTTATCCATCCTTGAACCACAGGGAAAAGTTTGCTTCCTATTTCAGCCTCAAATACTTAGTTATCTGTTCAATTGTTTTTAAATAGAGACCCTTGTACGGGCATCAGCATCTAACTAACTGTGGTATCACATCTAGCTAAAACAGGGCCACAGATGGGCTTTGTGTAGTCTGTGAGCATTTATGCCTTGTCGATCAGTCTGTCAACCTTTCCAAAGTGCAAGCCCATAAAAATCATAGAAACTGCTCTTTTCTTGGGGCTATATAAAGCCTCAAATTACAAATGTGGTGATGGAATCCTGGAAGAGAACTTCAGTAGTGATCCAAAGCCCCCACATACCCTGTGCCCGTGTTAGAAACACCTCAGAATTTTTCCCTTTCTGCCACCACCTCCTACCTGCTCCCTCCAGTCATGAGACTCAAGGCCATGTTATGACCTCAGACAGTCACATAGACTTGTTTCCAAAGACACCACCAGATTCTCCTGGAAACACTCCTCCCTTACAAGCCCCATCTGAAGTTCTCAGGGGAAAGCTGCCCGTCAGGGAAAAAAGGAAGCAAACAACACTCATAACAATCCAAAGCAGTCAAAGGCATTACATATGAGCAGTGTACTCCAGCACAGCTCCAGCCAGCCCCACTGAAACTGCCTGCTCCCATGACCACTCCTGGAGGTCACAGATTACCTAGGATGCTTCTTGCTAGTCCTTAAGAAAGAATTACTGCTGGCCTGGAGAGATGGTTCAGCTGTTAAAGGCTAGGCTCACAACCAAAAATATAAGAAATAATTACGGCAAAGAGTAATACAAAAGACTTCACTAGCACTATTAATACCCACCTGATTAAACTGTTTTACAGATTTTGAAAATGCAAGAAAATAGGAAAAAGAAAAGAATGAGACATCAAAAAGTAAATGGCAAGAAGCAAGGATGGAGTTTCCCAAAAATTCTATCTGCGTCCATGTACAGGATAAGAAAATTTTAAATATAAAGGCTTTCAAATTTTTATTTTACAGAATCCCTGTGCTAGGAGATTGGGGTGTTGCCAGACACAAAATATAGAAAACAATGAAGACATTTTTCCTTCTGAGAAACATTATCAGATGTCCTCATAGTATAGTTTAAATTTTTATTTGGTATAATTTCTTAAGCTTCTGAATCAGCAGTCTAAATGTCACTTATGAATCCCTGCATTTGAATAAATTTGATCAGTAGATACAGAGGTATTAGAAAACATTGGTCTGTAAAATTATATCCATTAAAACATGACAGAAGGCCGGGCGGTGATGGCGCACGCCTTTAATCCCAGCACTCGGGAGGCAGAGGCAGGCGGATCTCTGTGAGTTCGAGATTGGGCTGGACCGATAGCCTCCAAAACAATACAGAGAAACCCTGTCTCGAAAAACCAAAAAAAAAAAAATGACAGAAGAAAAAGCCAGAGAAACTTATGCTATGGTAGAGGACATTTGATTGAATGGGCATTCATAGACACCTGCTAAACCCAACAAAATATAACAGACAAATCTGATTATAGGATAAAGATGTTATTTTTTCCATTTTTACCATCTGAAATAATACTGGACTTTATTTAAACTCCCGTGTTGCTAAAGGTTCCAGCAAGGACTCAAATCTAGAACATTCCTCGCTCCAAGAACACACGACTGTGATCGTGCCTGAAAGAAACTGCACCCTCCCCCACCTCAGGTGCAGACACCGTAGTGGGTTTTCCTGTTTTTCTGCGGCATGCCTTTCTTCCCATATTAACTAGCAAACTTGGCTGTGCTATCTGCCTGCAGAAGTTCCTTCCTGAGCACAAGTGTGTCTTATCTGTTGAGAAATTCGAACACCAGGTAGACAGTTGTTTATGTCAGAAAAAGAGCTTACGCAGATAACTGTTGGAAGAGCCTGGACATGAGCGAGTTCCCTGTGCCACTGTCCTAAATACTGCTACTGTAAGATGGCTTTTTTCTATGCCTGTCTATGATGGACGTTTCTACAGACAAGTCCATGTTTTTAAAGCTCTCCAATTATCAACCCCCTACTTAACCCCTATGTGACTCAGATCTGCTCAGTTCCCACATTGTTGTCAACAGACATCTTTAAAAAACTCCTGCCTTTTCACACAGGGGCCATCTAAGAACAGAACAGTACAGGTTTGCTCAGCCCCTTAGCTTGGCTTCCCTCCTACAGGTAGCCAGGCCTGCCTGACAGGCTGCTGCTTACCCACCCCAGATGGCTTGCTGCACCAGGCTGCTTCACCGATGCTCCTGCTTCTAGAAAGGGTCCCACAGACTAACTTAGGTATTGTCACATCCACACCACTGGCTACATCCAGGTCACTAAACACCGTGTCCAAATTTAAATTTACAAATGGCCGGGTAAGATTTCGATCACCCACTTATTGTCTCCTAATCAGTATGTTCTAGAAACCATGCTGTGGTCCCAAAGATGAGTAAAGGAGTCCCTACCATCGCAGTGATAAGAATTACACGAAGGGAGCCTGTATAAGGCAGTGCAGTCAACCCTGTTAAAGTTGCATAGACAGTAGTGGGGAGCATAGCTGAAGACCTAATACCTGTGGGACGGTTGGGGAAAAGGCTGAGAAAGACACTCTAGAGCCACGCATGACTCCTGACACCACATAAGATGAGAGAGTGTGAGCAGCGAAAGAGCAAGAAGGGCAGTCCTGAGGCTGAGCAGAGGCACAACAGTGGGACCCTCTGTGGCGTACAGCAGATGAAGGCAGACTCCGGGGATGTGGTGTTAGGGTCTGGTGACAAGGGGACAGATATTTTTAGATCTGTGTGCACTGTGAGGGCTTTTAGTCATCATCAGCTTCCTTTCCTGCGGAGAGGGCAGTCCTAACTCCAGGATTCCCGAGAGCTCTCAGACCCCTGCAGTGGGTAGCCTTCTCTTCTTGAGAGTCTGATCACCCAAAATCCAGTCTCTGCCTTCAGATAGTCCTTTCACACCACTGACATGGTCACAGGATCCTTGGCACCTATGTTTGTCATTTTTGATTACTTCCTTGTTTCCACTACAACGCATTGTGACTGGAGACTTCCTCTTCTACCTTACAGCACATTCTAGACCTCTGTGAATGCTGTTACTTTAGCATTGTCACAAAGGGAAGCAGAAAACTACATATTCATGATAGTTTTTCAGAAAATACTTTCAGAATCGAAGCATTAGTAAAGTAACAAGTGTTGAGTTTTGCTAACTTTCTGCATTTGTGTGTCTCCTCAGACTCAAAGTGGAGATAGGTAGAGAGCCAGGTGTCTACAAAGAACAAGTGTTCTGCGATTACCATCATCTCATTTAATCCTCATGTGATACCATAGCCTCGGTGTTACAGATTCTGTTTTACAGATGAGGAAAACTCAATCTGTGGAGATCAATGTGCCCTAGTAAGAAAGTGTCAGAACGCATCCCTGCAGAAGACTCCCCAGGAGCCAAAAGTGGCAGGGACTTAGCCTTGGGACAGACAGAAGACAGACTCTTTGCAACCCTGCAGATTCTAGATTCAAGCATACATCATTCTAGCTACAGCATTCACATCCCACATATCTCTATTATTGAAAATGAGTTTCTTTCATACAATGTACTCTGATTACAGCTTACCCTCCCACCTGGATCCACACCCTTTCTGTCTCTCATCAGATAATGAGCAGTCTAAGGAATAACAATAAAATAAAGATTTTAAAACATCAGAAAAAGGCAAACAAACAAGAAAAAGACTCCCCCCCACACACAAGAAATGCACATACGAAGCAGAAACACACACACATTAGTGTACACAAGAATCTCATAAAAACACAAAACAAGAAGCCATAATAGATACACAAAGGACTTGTAAGGTAAAAAGCAAACAAACAAAAACCTCTGACTTAACATTATGAGGAAAAGAACCTCCAAAGATGTAGTTGAGTTTGTTCTGCATTGGCTATCTACTGCTGGGCAGGGAGCCTACTCCTAAGCGCAGCATCCCCAGTGAGATGCCCTGGGAAAAAAACTGATTTGATTTGCAAGTGGCTATCTGCTGGAGACAGCTTCTGGGTTAGGAATGAGGACTTGTTTCCACTTCTCTTTTCAGCTCAAGGACTCCATCTGGTACAGACCCATTGCAGTCCCTGTGCAAGCTACCACAGGTCTCTGTAAGCTCAGACGATATTCTACTCATCTTTAAACCCAGGTATTCAAAGTAGTATCATTTTAAAATGCACACACAATTTTCACTAGTTTCCTTTGAGAAATATTAGAAAATGAACTGCAAGCTAGTAAACAAATGGTTAAACCCAGCATTTCTCTGGAGTTTCTCCTACAAATAGTAATGAACATAAATTCCCTCAGGGTAATCAAACAGTAGAAGTTACTCATAATAGAAATATTCCAGCTACTAGGTTAAAGGGGGATTATATTAATAGAATTAATATATTACAAACTCTAATGAATTAAGGGATCTGGACAATGATTAAAAACAGCTACTAATACGACAAAAAGAGACAATTGGGCATTGTTTGCCTCCTGATAAAGATACATTTTGTATTCATAAGGCATAAAAATATTTATTGTTATATGTAATCATGATTATATATCACATAAAACTCTTTTAACCTGAACCAAGCCATACCTTCAGGTATCAATTTACAGTAGATGGAAGCAACTAAGAAACATGTTGAAAGACAAGGCAGAAATTTAATCCTTAAAATCAGAACATTCACAGGAAAAGAAACTGACCCATTTTCTTCACCAAGTAGCTGTTAAGGAAGGAAATACAGAAGGAAACTTATAGACTGAAAGAGCCTTAAGAAGCAGAGTCACCAAGTTATCTGTGAACCTCATTAGGTTGAAACAAATTGTGTGAGACACGTGTGTAAAGTCAGAAAAGCTATGCCTTGACCTTGGCTATGCAGCATGAAGGGATTCTTGGGAATGTTAAGGCATGTTATTATTTCACTCGCCCTTGAAATCGTTCATACATTCAGAGACACACTTGGAAGTATTCACAGATAGACTTGGGGGAGGTTGCTTACCCCCACAGAAATCATTGTCAGACCAGATTGACTGGATGTAAGGCTGAGGCAGAAGTTGCCCATAGTTCACTTTTGATCATGAGACCTTGGAGATTCATTATGCATTTCATTCACTATGTTTGTATACTTTAGAAGCAGAGATAAGTTTCAACAACAAATTTAATATGATACATTATGAATGAAATCACATTTTTAAAGTCACTGGTACTTCTCTTCCACCTCCTTGGTAGACTCTTGGCCCTGTGGTAAGTGAAGCATTCTCTCTTGAACCCTCAGGGAAGCAATCATCCAAGGCTTTTCTCTATTAAGAAACCATGATAACCTGATTCTAGCAAACTGTGCTTGTGTTACCTATCAAACCAAGTGTAGTGAGGCTAACTCTGAAATAAGCTAGCAGAAGACATATTTTCCAACTCTGAACTTCAGCAACCTAAAAAGTGCACACCCTTCAAAACAGTTTAGATTACACCCTGTCACACCCCTTCCTCATTTTTCAACTTCACTTTTCACCGTCCTGGGTTTTGACATCTTGGACATTTACAATGATGAGCAAGGACCTGGTTCTGCTTCGCAACCCTAGGTTTACTTACTGTTTACTCAGAAAAGCCAAGCCCACAGCATGCCAACCTAAATGAAGCTCCAGAGATTATAGGGTTGAGGCCCCTCATTTCTCAGGTAGGTTAGGCTCCCAAAGGTGAGTGAAAATGATAGACATGCATCGTCTAAGATTACAACCCAACTCTCCTTTCCCTTTCCAGGAACAGAAGAACCCTCAGAACTATGATTTTATTGTTCATTCTCTTCAGTGTGTCCTCAACATATGTATTCCTAAGCAATGTAGTCTGTCCTGAAGACTACCTCCTCTGGCACTGGCTAGAAGGACAGAGTCTACAATGAACAACAGTTGGCCCTGGCAGGAGCAGAACTCGGGGGCTTAAAAGGTCTTGGGAGATGACATGAGTGGACAGCTCTGTGTACAAAGCAGGAAGGACCACGTTTCCATGATCTTCTCCCCAGAAAATGATGGGTGGATACTTCTCTTCTGTTGGCCCTCTTTTACGAGTCCTGCATAGTTTTCTAGATTTTATGCATGAGTTTTAAATGTCTTGTTTGAAAAAAAATTACTTGTAAACATCACAAGCCCTCTTTTCCTCCTACTTGACACTAAACAGACAGAAAAATTAATAAGATTATCATCTGTAATTAGTGCTCTTGCATCAGCCATTCTTCAACTGGAGCAACTGCCTAAGTGACTGTTGAAGACAGTGTTAAAACTTCTGTGTTAACTTCCCATAAATGCATAAAAATACTCCCATCTCATTCTATAAGTTTTATAGCTTTCCAAGAAGTAATGAGTCCAAGAATAATAAGTGAGTTTCCCACAGTCTTAAAGTTGGTAAATGCATTATTGAGAGCTAGGCTGGGGCCTAGCTAACCCTAAAACCCACCCCTTCCCTGCAAGACAGGATAAAGGAAAGAACCATTGGTATCCATCATAACCCAGAAGTTGCAGCAGTCTTCTCAGGAAGAGAGATACTGAGTATTAGGGCCATCTGCTCCTTAATATTCCTTCTCGATGGCTCAGTGAAGAGGTCAGAATCACTTCTGTGCTTTTGAGAGTGGGAGCAGCAGGGCCTGTGGAAAAGACACAGCAGGAACCTGGTCCTGGGTGTGTGCAGATGGCTCACGGCTGTGCGGCTGAGTCTGCATGAGTCATGCAGAACACAGTAAGGCTCCAACCCAAACCGTGTCCTCATGGGGCCTCATCTTCAGCCTCTGCCACAGGGCTACTCACACTTGATTCTGGCTTGACAGCTAAATCTCCCAAATTATTCAAGAGCAAGCATTCGTTCCTTCAGCACTCAGACTTGCTCCCCAGATGATTGGCTCTGATTTTTGTTTTCTTTTTCTTTTTTTTTAATTTTTTAATTTCATTTTACAATCCAACCGCAGCTCTCCCTCCCACACCTCCTCCTAACCCGTCTCTCCTCCCCCTTGGTCCACCCCCAGTCCACTCCTCCTCACGGTTAAGGGTTCTCATGAGGAGTCACATAGTCTGGCACAATAGGTTGGGGTAGAGCCTGGCCCCTCTCCCATGCATTAAGACTGAGCATGGCATCCCACCATAGGGAATGGACTCCAACAATCTAGCTCATGTACTGAGATTATATCATGGTCCTACTTCCACTGAGCTGAGCATGGCCTCTCACCCTAATGAATGAGCTCCAACAAGCTAGCTCATGTACCAGGTCTGTATCATCGTCCTACTGCCAGGGGCCCCTCAGATAGCCCAAGCTTCACATCTGTCTCCCAACTGTTTCACCTGAATCCAGGCGAAGAGAGGGAGGAGGGAACATATTAGCAAGAGAGGTCAAGATCATGATGGAGAAGTCTACATAGACAGCTGAACCAAGCTGGTGGAAACTCATGAACTATAGACCTACTACTGTGGACACCCCAGGAGCCCTAACTTTCTTAACTGAACCAAAGAAAGGAGCATGGAAGTGAAGAGGCCACACTGACAGTAAAGGATATAAAGTAGGACCAAAGAAGTAAAGACAGAAACATTCCAAAGAGGAGCTCAATAGGTGGCTCTGTGGTTAAGAGCACTGGCTGTTCTTCCAAAGGATCTAGATTTAATACCCAGCGCCCACATGGCTCATAAGTGCCTGTAACTCCAGTTGCGGGTGATCTGACACCTTCACACCGACATAAATACAGACAAAACCACAGTGTAAGCTAAATAAATAAACAAACAAATCTTTAAAAAAAAATAAAATCTTTCGAGAAAAAAAAAAGAAAGAAAAGAAACATTCCAAGGTTGGCAGCCCTAGAGGAAGTCAAAGGTTCCAGAGCCAGAATGCTGAGTTTGAAGACCATTTCTGTTCCTTAGCAAATGGTGATGTGGCCCATGCCATCTCTATCCTGGCTTCCTCATCATAAATCGGTTTATTTCATAAACAGCGTACTGCAGCTAAAATAGCAGTAAGTAAAATGTGTACACAAGTTGACCCAACTTTTATTTAGCCTTCATAATGACTTTGGGTAAAATTATCTGAATCATTGGTGTACAAACTGTGAGGTTTGCTCCACAGCTGAGTGCAACAATGTATCTGAACTGGATTAGGACAGCTCAGTTTATGATAGGCTTGCTCTCTATTTGGTACCTAGAGAGAAAAGAAAATAGGTCGGACACTAATAACCAGCGTCAACCACAGTGTAATGTTTACAGAAGCTGCAATCCTTAAAGAGAGACCCTTTCATGCAATTCTAGCTTAAAATTATATCTAGGTATTTTTCTATAACTTTTGAGTTCATGAGCTTATTTATCTTCTCTGTAAAGTTCAGAATCTAATTTCTAACACAGGTTACTTACGGCAATAAACTCTGCAAGCTCTAAAATGACAAGTTGAAAGATACAATTTTTTAGAGTTATGAATTAATAGCTGTATATGTCAAATACTTTGGAAGTGCCAACTTCTTCATATTTATAGATATATTATTGAAATGATAAAAAATGAACCAAGGAAAGAGGAAAGAATGGGGAAGCACATACAATGAATCAAGTGTACTTAACAAGACATGTACAGACACTTTGGTGAACATCTCTTTTATTGCATTACATTAATCAAATACTACTAAAGACATCCATCTGAACAAAGTGGCACAATGATATTCTATAAAAAAAAAAACCACCCTCTTGGAAAGAGTCCGCCCTGACAGCTGTATCGACGGTATTGTCTTAAGTGATTGCCAGGCCTACACTTGTCAGAAATTAAGACATTTGCATATGTCCCCCAGCTCTGCTCTTCTTTCATCCTAGTCCCACCAAGCTAGCCTTCGACAAAAATAATAATTTTGATGGAGAAATTGCACAAACACTTACAAGGACTCATAAACCTGAGTCTAGATGATGTTTCCAGTATTTTTTAAAAGAGTGACATAATTTCAGTTACTTCCTATGAATGTAAAAGAACATTCTGGCTACTGAGCAGGTCAATCTGACCCCACCAGGGCTTTATTTTATCATCACACAGACCCTGTTGCTGTTCACTGCCCTGTGGCACTGCCTGATGACCTATGTAAGGACTGCAGCTCTTACATGGTTGATTTTTGTTGTTCTTATTATTGATTTTGTTTCTTTCTTTTGAGACAGGATTTCTCTGTAGCCTTATAATTTGCTCTGTAGACCAAGCTAGCCTAGAACTCAGATCCACCCACCTCTGCCTCCTGAGTGCTGAGATTAAAGGACACTAAACCTAGCTGCAACTCTACCTTTATATAGGTCCAGTTTTTCTAGAATTAGTTACTTGCTTGCCCTGAAGGGAAAAAAATCATCAACTAATATATAAGCAGATAATTCTGTGGTTGGTGTAATATACTTAGAAATCTGCTTTCTAAGACTGCAGTGTGTGCATAGAAAAAAACATGAAATTGTTAACGCAGTGATTTTAGGATTGCTGAGACCCGTCTGGAATCTGTTCCAATCTGTGACACATGCTTGTCTGCACTCCATGGCACATTCAAACCTACCTCTTCTTGCTGCTGTCACTCCCATGCAAACCAACACGCTCTATGTAAATATGACCAATCACTGCTAATCTTCATTGATGAACAATTTCTTATTCGTGTATAGAAGAAAAATAATATGCCTTAAGAGAAATAACTTTCACAATTTTCTTCAAGGCTAAGCCATAAAAGATAGAAAATTCTACCTCCAGTTTTCACATGGAAAAACTAAACTTACATTTTTGTGATTGACTTTTGACCCCTGCTTTAGAAAAGAGAAAAATCATTTAATTGTGCTAGTATGCTAGATGTCAAAACATGAAAGTGTTCAATGGCATTCAAACTGAAAATGAAAAGACAACTTCCAATTTCTCTTTAAATATTCAGGAAAGGCATCAAAGGGTTTAGACTGGTGTCAATATTAAATAGAAAATATGTCTGAATGTTGATTCCAGAGACTAAAATGTGCTTTTTTGTGTCATATGAGTGTTTGAAGATTTGGCAGAGGGACGTAGGATCCTACTCTTTGCAGGAGCTGTCGCGCCATTGGATGGAATGTCTCTACCAAGGCTGCAGCAGTACTAGATAGCGTGTAGCCGGGCCTTCTGAGAGACTGCATTGCCAGCCGGAAAGAAGCCTGAGTTAGCAGGTGCGCTTCACAATGTCTTTTTCACAGCTCGGCTCAGAAACTGTAGAGCAGGGTCTTTGAAAAGGCCCCCTCAGTACTTCCCCACCGAAACCCTCAGCACTTAGAGAATACCCCTAACCAAGCAGACCTGATTGGGGGAAATTCCCTGGAAGAGCCACGTCTAAGCATTGGGACATAACAGTGAGAAACGTTTTAAAAAACAAGCCGCGTTTATTCTATGTGTAAGTTAACTTCCGTTTTCCCCTTTAATATTTGGTTAGGATTCAGAAAAAAAGAAAGGTAACAGAAAAAAGGGGGAAAATCTAGTTGGAAACAGAATATAATCTATTAGCTTTTACACTGCAATCGGACTGCTGGTTTCTTTCACACGAAGTGCTAACTTTTTAAACTTTTTTTCATGGTATGAATGTATTCGTATAAAGTTATAAAGTTCCAGACTCTGTGACTCCTATTAAAAGTGCTGGCAGTCTGGCCACTCTGTATCTATACACGGCAACTGACTGGAGAAGAATACATGTCCCTCAGTTCTAAAAGTTACATATGTCCAGCTTGCCTTTACTCCCTCTCCTCCTACCCTCCTACTCCTAAAGTATTCAACTATGTTACTAACTTGGTTAATAGACTTCTAGATGTTCTAGACCTGTGTGTGTGTGTGTGTGTGTGTGTGTGTGTGTGTGTGTGTGTGTGTGTGTGTGTGTGTTCATACTGGCTTAAGATAGTTACAGGATTCTTAGACACCTGGTCCAGCCTCTATTTAGCACAAGATCCTTGCCCAATTTGTCTTGCTTCAACATCAACAGCTCTCCATGAAGTTGGGAAAAGCTCCTGAAAGCAAAAGAAGTGGGTTGTAACGGGGAAGTGAAATCTGGCTTTGAGTAATCCGTGGTTCTTTTCAAGCAAACTGAACTGCCATCCTCTCTCGATCCCAATTTCCTAGCATACAGGCTAAATCTGAGAAGGTTGGTTGGCTTCCAAAACAGCTTAGAATTTCTCAACAGGCACCATCTCTCCCAGTCGGAGCAGCAGGCAGGTAAAGGAACCTGCCAATTCTCTGTGCCTCTTTGGAGCCACTCAAAGAGCGCCTGGGGGTAAAATAAAAACAAATAAGGAGATGGTCTATGCAGAAAGAGACCCCTGGGTCGTGTCCCTCCCCTGTCCTCTATTTGCATCCTTACAGACCCCTATGACTTTCCACTCTTCCTGAGTTTTGAAAGAGAGCAAACGCTCAGAAACAATTGGCAGGTGATTTCCAGTCATTACCTGCCTGCCACGCTAATTACAAGTCATTACCTGCCAGCAGCATGCAGTTTTGTACAGTTTGTGAATCATAGGGAGGGTGTACTTAACTGGAAAGATCATTTTTCTCAGACTAAAGAATGCCAGCGTTTGGCAGCCCTGTGCAAACCAGTATGATGTAATGTGTAGCGGGCACACACTATGTTAAGACTCATCCTTGAGATTTACACACATGCATCTTACATGGATATGGCTAAAAGGAAATCTGTGGGTTTTCTATCATTCATTACCATGTGCCCCAAATTTCATATTATTTAATGGAGGGGGCAGGCTTTCCTGCAGAATATATACCAAACACAGAACATACACAGCATCATGGTATCAAAAGTGCATCTTGCAATAATCATGGTTTGGATTGCTGTATACTTTTAAAGTTTTATAAGATATTGTAGTCTTAATTTCCACATGCAGAATGGGTATTGTTGATGCATATAAATTATGCATGTCTCTGTTGCACAGACATCTATCAAAATTGTCATTTGTATTCCATATTATACATAAACCGTGACTCAGTGGTTAATTACAATTTTTAAAGATTTCTGGTTATTTTTTAAATTACTAAGAGCCTAGTTCTCCTGCTTTCACTTTTAAGTTTAATTTTGTTTTATTGTTCCTCAGTCTCAACACACATACACACACACACAAAACTGAACATCATGTAGTTGACTTAGCTACATTCCCTTTGTTTTACAGGCAAGGAATAAGAGTCATAACAGGTAAGATATGCATTAAATTTTGCCTGAACTTTGAAGATAATCACAGGATTTTCCAGAGTGACACTTCCTTTTTGTTCAGCAGCTTGAACATGAAGACAGGATACTTCTTTTCCTGCAATACAGCAATTATACCAAGTTATGCTTTGACACTCTTGCCACAGGCAAGTGGCCAAAGAGCATCCACAGTCAAAATATCTAAGCGACTTAACAAGCTTCCTTTACTCTCAGAAGAGGGAACCCAACCCTTGAGAAATGTTAAAGTGAAGGATACAAAAGACTGTTGCTGTTTGCTAATGAAAATGGTGTCGGTGGTTTGGGCTGATCAAGGTGTATTCCTGACAGACATTCAGACCTATATTTGACACAAAGCCTTTCTCCAGTTAAGGCCTTCTTGATGGTACCAGCTAATGAATGACTCATCTGTGAGCCCTTTCCTTGGAACTACTTGTTTTATGGCTTGGTCACAATGGGTCACCCTCCCAGTCACCAGTCCCACCACTCTCAAGACTAAAGGTAACGCCTCTAGTTTCCACCCCATTTTTTAAAATACCACCACAGTTACCTCGCAGAAGACATCAAAACTAATTAAATATACTCCAAAAAAACTATTACAAATCATTTGCTTCAGACAGAGATAATCAGATTTAATTAGGTGACCAGTGTTGATGAGGTACAAAAACAAAAGCCATTGCTCCTTGAAAAGTTTCAGGTCCTGTAGAGGCCCAGTCTACTCTCTGTGACACAAATAGTAATTGGGCATTTCTAGAAAAAAAAAAAAAGGCAGGCATGAAAAGAGGTTTCTCTGGAATCAAACCTTCCACTTACGGTTCATTTTCTCTTTTTTCCAGGTGATTCAAAAACAAAACCTACAGCATATACAAAGAAATAGCTATGGCCTATGTTGATACCACCACGGCACAGACTATACCTGGCCTTGTAATCGTGATTTTTGCAGATGATTCATCAAATATATTTACCAGTCATCTTCAGTGATTATCAACAAACTTGATTAGTACCACAATGAAAATCTTACATTTCCCCAGTATTCATCAGTTAATACACTTTCTTTGGCAAACAAAGCAAACTGTTCAAGTTAAAATTTAATGCAATGAAAGTCTTTCTCACAAGGAAAATATTTTTTAAAAGCTGTTGATTCTCCACAGCCCCACACCTGGCACTTCATTGTTGTCTGCAGTCAGCCCTGCTCTGAACATTCATTGAAGGCTACTTTTCATGTAATGACAATAGATGCTATAGAGTGGGGAAATTATTTTACAAATCCTTGCCATGAAGTAGTTGTCAATCCCTGACAGATGTGTTAAACATAAAAGTAGGTAGTATTCTTAAAGAATGATAATTTATTTTAAGTATATATGCACATGTATACACACACAGGCACACATATATATACACATGTATATGTGACAAGAAATTGAAAACAGTGCCGTTCTCGTATTTTCATACCATTGATTCTTGATGGTTAGGCTTCCGGCAGCTGCCTCTTATCATCTTAAGTCCTATATTGTGTTTACATAAACATGTAAGTTCACAGATTATTAAAGTAAACAAGTACCAATTATTGATACATGTTCCACAGTGAACTTTTCTGGTATTATAGCATGAAACAGCTCTGAATAATGGCTCTTTATATGCTATTGTTAAGCAATTCTCCTAGAACTTTTATCCAACAAACGCACATAATTTTACATGAGAAATTGCCTTAAAGCAAGTCTGAAACAGGCGTGCAAGTTACCAAAAAGGCCAATGTATTATTTTCCAAGTTTAAGTACACCTCAGAATTCTTTTCCCTGCCTCATAAAATGTTGAAAGGAAAATTATTTTCAATGCTGGCATTTAAATGGTATCATTCCGTGTGGAAAGAGTTACTGAGACATTTGTTAGAAGTCAACAGAAATAATTTGGACATATTTTGAACTTATTTTATCTGACTCCTCGACATTTAATTTGGTGTGAAAAACAGCAACGGTAGAAAACAGATGTTAAGGGGCCAAGTATACAACAGAGGTCAAAACAAGCATCAAACACGGCTTCCATTTCTTAGCGGAAAAGCCAGGATTCCTCCAGCAACAGGTTCTACGGAAAGCTGCCTTTTTTATTGTTCTGCTCGTGATATCTGTAGACTACACAATGCAATACTGTCTGCCATGGAGCAATACCTCTCAGCACCAGTAATTTAAGACTTTCTTCTCTGTAATACACTGAGCCATCATAACCTGTCTCTTCCCATTTAGTTTAACCTACAACCACCACATACTGATTTGGCTGTGTGTGGCTTTTTCTATTGCCATTTATTACTCTGCTCGACTCCTGAAATTCTGTTTGCAATTTAAGGCCACAAATTAGAAGCGTAAGTCATCTGTTTCCTATAATCCCCCTGTCAGGACTCGAATCGCATTTGGAGCTCAGCACTGAGCCTGGGCCTGGGCCCGCGCAGGCGTTCTGATTGGCTGGCCTCTCTACAAGCAGCAGAATAAATAAAATACCCCGGAAAAATAGAGCTTTTGGGGGAAAAAAAAAGAGAGAGAGAGAGAGATGAAAGGAAAGAAACTGGGTTTCAAACAATTTCTTCTCCCTTTCATAATTATTGAATTAATTGTTAAAATAGTAGGGTTTTTTCTTTCTTTTCTTTTCAATGATCAGCGGAGCTGAATATACCTTTTTTTAAGGACAAAACAGTGAGTGTCTAGGACACCATGAGGGAGCAGGAGCAGTCTGCTTGGGGAATATCTTTAAACCCTGCCATGTTTCCTACAATACTCACCTTGCTGTGTTGCATGTGGGTATCTTTAAATAGTGTTATAGATCTTTTGCTAAGCTAAAAATCTATGAAATCCTAATCTACTCGTTGAACCAGACTTTCCCTTGTAACACATTTTGGCAAGATCCAGATAGTACCCTAGATTTATTAGAAGATTTTTTTTAAAGTTAAGCACTGAATCAGTGTATCATTATTATTATTATTATTATAATATAAGAATTTCCAAATTTGGGGAATCTGACCTTTTTTGGATTTCCTTGCCTCATTTTAATGGGCCTCCATGTAGCACTCCTGAGTCTTTGGATTCTTTCAGGATTTCATATTTTTAAATATTTTGCTTTTTTTCTGTTACTCTTTAAGTGTTCAACATATTACATTTCATATTAAAAACAGCAAGATACAAAGTATAAATGGAGAGTAGCCACATCTAAAAACATCAGACTGCCACAAAATCATTATTTAGTTGCAATAAAATCCAACAGACTGACTCCTATTAATAAATATACTTATGTTAGCTACACTTGGGAAAATGTTGGAAAAAAGAGGATCCATATTTACTGAATTTGTATTTCAAAAGCACAGTTTGTATATCAAAAGAACATAATATTCAATGGGAAAAATTACAAGCTAAATTTTAGCCAAAACTAGAAATAGATACAATAATAATAATAATTTTAGAGAAAAGGCATCTTTAAGAACAACAAAAGAATCTAATATTAAATCATTCTAGAGGTAGGTAATAATTTGTAATACCACTTCTGGAAATGTTTTACACTTCTGTAATTTAAATTCCTTTTCTATTTTTTACATCAGTTTTTGCAGCCTCTGAGTCCACAGTTTGGCCCCCTGATCTCTTGTAATTTTAAAAGAAACAAAGGAGGAAAACTCGCCAAGATGTTAAGGTTTCAAAGACACACACACACACAGAGAGACAGAGAGAGAGAGAGAGAGAGAGAGAGAGAGAGAGAGAGCTACTGTATGTGCACACTCGCGCACTCTCATTATTTTTTCAATTTCTTTCAACTATACTTTCTGTGTTACAGATTTATTTAATAAACAAATGCATCTTCTGGGCCCATAATACACAAATGCATGCTACTGTTAATTCATTTACAAAATGTGCCATGATGGCCCCTGAGCAAAAGAGCAATCTTGTTATAATGAATGTGTACTATTCTTAATAAACACAGTGTAGCAACGACCTGCAGTGCACACAAAGCACACCCAAACCATTTGGTTTGTTCCCAGAGCTCGGACACCAGCACCACTATTAAATAGCTGTGCTCTGGGAGAGCAACCCAGTATTGGCATGCAAATGAGCACCCGAAGAGGCCAGATGCTGTTCTTTAGAAAGGAAGAGTGTTCCTGCTCAAATTTAGGGGTGGGGGGAGAGCCTGTGAACGTTACAAGCAAGGGCAGTCTTACGAAGGAACGTGAGCCCTTATATTTCCTACTATGCAGATGAGCCTAGACTGGGTGAGCACTTGGTGCAAACATGTGAGCATTGAAGTGCTCCATATTTCCATGACACAGTGGACTGCTTACCATGGTTTTGCTTTTGTTTAATTTCTTATGGGTTTTCTTCATGTTCTTCATTTCTAGTCCAGAAAGATGACTCTTAACTTTGAAAACCTGAGAGACTTTACCTCCGCTTTCTAAATAGAAGCTATCATTCTTAGAAAGTAAATGTTTTTCACATGCATTATTGAATAATAGAAAAGAATGTGCTTTTGCTTTCCCAAAGAAGCTCCTGGCACATGATTCCCATCTGTTTAGAAACCCTCCTGAATTCCACAATTTGTGATGGGCGTGAGACCCACTATTGCCTCCTTTATCTCGTCATAGCAGTCGATGGCCGTGAGGATGAAGTAGCAAGGGGAGCTAGGAAGGATACTGAGACTGGTTTCGCAGTCATTTTAGTAGCCAGAGCCCCTATTGAATTCAGAACACAATTTTTCTTCTTGGCTCATTTTTTATTCTCCTCTTCTCTGGGGTCAGGGAGCCCTTTGTTTATTTGAATTCCTCAAGTTGGTTGAGAAGATAAGACTTGATATCATGGGTGTGAGTTCAAAGAAACAAACTAATGAAAAGCAACCAAGATCACCCACATATGGTGGGACTCTCAAGGAGATATAATAAGAGTCCTGTAACACAAATAATTAAGTGTAAAACGTCCCTTCATAATGGTGGCATTTGGGGACAGAAACTTTCTTTATTTCTTTCTTCCTTCCTTTCTTCCTTTATTTTGATACAGAGTCTTACTATATAACTCTGGTTGTCCTGGGACTAACTATGTCGACCAGGCTGGCCTTCAACTCACAAACATCTATTTACCTTTGCCTCCAAAAGCTCTGGGACTATGGGTATACACCACTATACCTGGATGGGACAAGAACTTACTAGAGAAAGTTGTAAATACTTTGTGTAGTAATGGTTTCTTCCATACATATTCTTTTTATAAATATTTTTGAATACTTGTTTACAGACAGATACCCACCTAACGTAGAAAGTTACACATTATTGCAAATAAAATGAACACATAGTAGTAGCTAGATGTACACAAAAGACCTTTTGGTGGCAAATTATTAATCATATACACAGTAAATACATTTTTATGTGGAAATACTTAGTCAGTAGAAACAGAAATGGATAAAAATATGCTTGATGGAATTACTTGTGTTGTTGGTCTTCTTCTTCTTCTTCTTCTTCTTCTTCTTCTTCTTCTTCTTCTTCTTCTTCTTCTTCTTCTTCTTCTTCCTAAGATTCTCTTTAGCTAAGGTTAGCCTGGGGCTGCTGGTTCCACTATTTTTTCATAGATGATCATAGGATCATTGCTAAATTTCTAAAGAGCCCTTTCCTCCAGTCAGTCTGTACATAAAATCCATCTATACATTTACAAATTGTTGAACAATGTGTTAGTTTTATAGGTTGTTGTAATTCAGTACCACAAGGTGAGCTGTGGCAAAGGCAGGCATTTATTCTCTCAAGTTCTGGATAAGGTTATGGTAGCATGGGTTAGGACTTTATATTTGGAAGGTGGGAGCAGGGAGAGGAACATGCAGCCCTACAATTACAACAAGCAGTTAGGAACTCAGTATCAGACACTTATAGTTTGGCACTTTATAATTTTATAATGAAAAAAAAGAAAAGAAAAAGAAGAAACAAAAACTCTGCAAACTATTGAGGAATTCACTATCAAGAACATTGTTTAAGCTGGACACGCTGATAGATGCCTGTAATCCTACTACTTGAGAAACTGAGGTAGGAAAATTGAGGGTTCCCGGTCAGCCTGCACTTCATGGCAGGACTCTGTGTCTGAAGATAGCGATTCCTACATTATAAAGAAAAGTCCTTCTTATGAGAATTAATGGGACAAATTGCTCTACAGACCCAGACCAGGAATCACTGAGTCTCTTCCAGTTAATTAAGATATTCTAAAATGCTTTCCACGAGGGTAGAGGTAACTGATCTTCTTTTAGTTGGCTGCTTGCAAGTTTAAATGAAATCCGAGACTCATCACAAATATACCTAATAAGCTCATTAATGTATTTTAGATAGTGAACTTTACCCAGTATAATTTTATTTTTCTTCATTTTATTTCCCTTTGATATTTTCATATTATTATTTTGTCAATGTATTATTAAAAATAGTATTAAAGGCCCAATTCAAGAGCAAAGCAAACTATAAAAGAATTTCAAAGTTAATTAGGATAAACTCAGATTAAATTGATTTTCCCATAAAACAAAAATAATTTAAAAGGTAGGCTGTGCTGTGAGAAAGAATGCATTTATAATACAAATGTATTTATTTTCAAGTAATAGAAATTACCATAGAATAATGAGGTAGCAGCATTGAACGTGCATAAAGTTACGCCAAATTCATGTGACTTTAAGGGAAAGCTTTGAAGCTATGACATTTCTGAAAACTTCCTTATGTACTAAAGTGTATGACAATGAGAAAACTAAGGGATTAACATGAACATGTGCTCAAGGTATCTGGATGCTGTCAAACAGCAGAGTAAAATAGATGCTGTTTGCTCAACGCTCAGATTTGATAGCAACTGGAACAGAACACTTCATGGCAGTAAGAAAAGAAGCAACAGCACAGGAAAACTGTTGCTGGGGAAGATGCCTGGTTTTCAATTTGCGATATCGGAGCTACAGCGAGGGATCAGAAATATGAGTCCCAGCACGTGGCAGCAAGTGGTCCTCAGATTGCTGTTTGCTTGCTTGCTTGTTTGTTTTTTGAGATAGCGTTTCTCTATGTAGTCCTGGCTGTCCTAGAACTCTCTCTTTAGACCAGGCTGGCCTCAAACTCAGAGATCTGCCTGCCTCTGCCTCCCAAGTGCTGGGTTTAAAGGCGTGTGCCACCAAAGCCGGGCTCCAGCACTGCTTTTGCTTAACTCCAACTAAAATTACTAAGATGAATGATCCCACACATGGTTTAGTTTTAATTTTAAAAATACTGACACCTTTTAAATTAAACCTGGATCAATACAAACTGGTCTAAAATGTGTAGTGCCACAAACAGCGCCAACTAGGGATGATTCCGATTTCCGCTAGATCTTTGCGGCACCGATCCCACTTCCAAGACATCTCTTCTCCAACCTCACAAACTTGCAAAGCCGTAGAATCCCGAACTTTGATGCGCAGAGTGTGTTTGGCATATTGATTCTTAAAGTGAGCCAGTGGGACTCAGCAAAAGGGGAAAGTATTTACCCAGGAGTGTGTACCAAGTCTACAGCACAGCCAGAGCCGTAAAGTGCCAGCCATGACATGGCACCACAATTAACACTGTGGTGATACTATCAGAGTCACCCAGACATTCTTCTCAAGACACATTTGGTTTACTCTTGCAGTCTCCAGATAACAGCGTCTGAAACCAGTCACAGAAAGACGTAAGGCAAACAGTGTTCCTTGGGGACAATTAAAAATATGGTCCGGGAGTTCCACATCTAAGGCTGTATCCGTGTGCCTTACCTTAGGCATATGATCAAAGCTCTTGTACTCACACACTGGGCCGAATTTCCACGTTGCTGGGAGCCCAAATTCGTATCATCATTTCCCCAAAACTTGTCCTTCATGCTGGGCTGCACTTTGATTCTCAGGCTTTTCAAAGGTATGTGTGACTTCATTATGCCTTACCTACCGCCCTTTGTGAAGGATGACAAACTACTAAGACAACAAAACTGCTAAGTCCCTCGGTGTTATTTCTGGCTGTGCAGTTGACACACACCGTACTTCCAGCCAAGTCACTCACCCGCTCTACAGCCAAGGTCTTTCTGGGTAAACTGGAGGTTGTCAGTTTCACCAGATCATGTTCAGGAAACACTGAAGTATGTGCCTGAAGGTTTCTGTAGACATGGGAAAGAATTATCATGACTATTGTTGTTGTTTATGACAAATGCAGCTGCAGAACTTGAGGACTAAGGTCTCCCTGTGGATTTGACTGTGGCCTCCAGAACCTGAGATTTCATTTTAAAAGAATTAAATTTCCAGTCTGCTTTCCAGGGGTGACTGTGAGAATGTGTGCTGACAGACTGTTGTCTTCAGAGGCAATATCCAGACACACTAAGACAATGCCACAGCCTGAGCAGGGGTGACCCTTCGCCATTCATCTTAATGGAGTGTTAAACTTGAAGCCTAATTAGGTCCACTTAAACACCAGCATTATTATACTTTTCTCTACTTATCTTCATACCAGAAACAATCAACTAATGGACTCATTTAATCTGTGTGCATGCAAGGGTCCCCTCCAGACACCCTGTCACTTTGATAGCCAGCATTGCAGTCATAAAAGTACAAGTTGTAGACTTGTGCTTTGGTTGCTTTTAATTATCCACACAATTACACTACTTTCTGTTACCTTGAAAACTTAGAGACAAGACTGTACACAGACATATGTGAGGTTTGTAAGGCCTCCAGACTGATCACCATCCCATAATGAGAAAGTGATATCAAAGTTGCTGCCAGGATAATACGCACACACACACACACACACACACACACACACACACACACACACACACAAATGTGTTAAATGAAAGATCAGCTCCTGTTCCTTGACAATTTATAGTTTACCCTTTGCATACACACCCCGCTTCCCACACACCCTTTCTGATTTTATAATTGTTGCTTGAACTGTTTTAATTTTTAATTCCTACACTAAGCCATGGACAAAAACAAAATTAGAAATATATCAATTTTCTCTTGACTATTTTATACTTATACTTGCATTAAGGATCCAAATCTGGGCCCTTAATGCAAAGTTCTTGACTGCCTTATAAAATATCTCATAAAAGTGAATTTATTTACTATGGATTATAAGGGATTAGTCTGTTTTCCCTGCATGGTCTCTGTGCCAACATGGTACATGAGAAAAATTTTAGAAGTGTTTCATGCAAGTATTAGTAACCATCTTTAAGGTGGGAAAATATATTATCCCACTCATGGACCTACCTTTAGCCACACTCACGTCCCAGGAAAACACTTGAGTCTTCCCATTGTTCTCCAAGAGTGAAATGGGTAACATCACGGGCTGCTCCTTTCTAGCAACAGAAATAGTTGGAAGGTAATTGTATTCCTCAAAGATCAGTATACTTTCCAGACAAGAATTTACATTTAAAGCCAATCCAGAGTCAAAATTTACTTTTGAATCATTCAAGCAAACAGATACCATTGCCCAGTTCAGGCTGAGGACAACCCAGAGATGCTAAGAACTGGTGAGCAAAAACAGTTGCAAAAAAACATTTCCAAGGAGAATTATACACATATACATATCGATTATAGGTGATGTGAAAAAAGCAGTCCTTTTGAGCCTTTCTTTAAACTGATAAAGAGTAATTGCAGTACTCTTTTTTTTTCCCTTCCATAGCTGGGATCAAGCCCTGAATCATACTCTCAGCCTGCAAGCCTTCAAACTTTAACAGTTGCTCTGACAACTCTAAAAGGCAAAGAACTAATTTCTACCTTAACAAAGACGTGTTTATTATGTTTACACTAAAACAGTCACATGGTCCTAAATGCTTTCTGAAGTAGGAGTTTGTTTCTTACTTACAGACTTAATTATGCAAATTCTCAAGATGATCCCTAGATGCTGATGAGCTCCAGCAGAGACTAAGAAGGAAAAGTGGACCCTTAGGGATCATTGAAGAAAAGAGGCAGAATGTGTACCGGACAAGAGACAGGAAGTGAGGCTGAAGTGGAAAGACAGGCCACATGGTCATGGAACCTGGTGAGCACACCAACAGGAAGGATCTATTTGACCACTGCAGAGTGGAAGCCATGCGCATCACAATGGGCATGTCCACTTGGGAGTCATCCAGGACCAGAAAAGCAATTCTCCAGTTTTGTAGTTCCCTGACCTTCACTCCACAACACAAGTCTTTCTGAGAACAGCAAGGGTGGTAGAGGAAATACCTCTCTCTGAGAGCTAGTCTGAAGGCTAGAAACTAAATAAGATCGTGCATGCAAGGTCCCTATCCTAGCAACTATGCAGAGTACTTAACTGATGTCTAACAGTTTACACTAAACCATCCATATACAGCAAACAGTAATAATGACAAATAATAGCGTATGGACATGCCCCTCAACAATTGTGTTTCTCCGAATGAGAATGGAAATACAAATCTGACATTGCTTCAACAGGCCTTTGTTCCTAAATGGCTCTCAGGGCATGAGAATTTCCTAGGGACATGTATGAGTGATGCAGCGTGTAGCACAAATACCAAAACTCCAGAGACAGCTATTGGGGTTCCTGTTGAAGATTAGAGAAGCAAAGCAGGCAGACATTAAAGAGTTCTCATCTCTACCATCGCTCAGACCAAAGAGGTGAGGTGATCCACCGAACCTGAGATTGTATCTCCAGACTGCAGTGCTCTCCATCAAGCCTCAGAATCATAGACTGCTCTCTGACATTGCACTGAGATCCTTATATATGCTCTAGATCTGGGATTAAAGGTGTGAGCTCTGTTTCTCTTTTAGACTGATACACTCTCATGTAGCCCTGTGTGGCCTTGAACCCACAGAGATCCTTCTGCCTCTGTCTCCTGAGTCCTGGGATTAAAGGTGTGTGCCACCACTGCCCAGATTCTACCAGGATGGCTACCTTTACATGCTGACCTTCAGTGACTTTATTAGGTCATAAACAGTATATCACCATAACAGCAATGTCTTCTGATGTTAGAAACTCAGGACAAGAAGTAACTTGACTGTATTAATACAGAAGAAACCCTTGCATTACAGCTGGTAAGGTATCTCTCCCAGCTTCGTGAACATCATTTTTACTTTTTCTTCTTTCCCCATGAAAAACAACATCTTTTTGCAGTGAGTATAGCATTGTGGTTGACAAATCTTGATTCAGATTCTAGCAAGACCTGAACCTCTTTGCTTCCATTTCCCATTAGAAAAATAAATTGATACAGCCTCATAAGAGTGAGTAGAGATTAATTTAAAAGCATAAAATGAGCCTACTATAATGTCAGAAGAACTTTAACTTTCTTCCCAATTCTTAATTCCCTCTCATCTAATTTAAATTATCAGATCATCATAATTATTTGTGTATATCTCTCACCAGGTTCTGTGCTTCTTAACAGCAATAGCTAGAACCTTTCATACATGAGACTCGTTAGTCACTCTCAAAGCTGTTACTATACAACAAATTGGAATTGTTGGTATGGGAAAGAAAAGGAGAGACAGTTCCTTCATGATTATTGGCGTTTTCAGTTTGATTGGATCACTGTGTGGAGATAAGCTGGTTCCAAAGGGTCACAAAATATAGTTCTCCTAACAAATGTCTATAGTCTGCGTCCTCTGAAGTACATCATTTGTTGGAAATGCCAACTCTCAGGCCTGCCTAGTCCTGAGCAGAAGCTCTGGAGAAAACCAAGAAGGCTGGGCCTCAAGGCTCCATGGGTGATTCTGATGCACTATAATCTTGAGAACCTCTGACTTAGACCATTCACATCTACCATGATAGTGACACTCAGAAAATAGACAGTCGCAGGGATATGTAGTCTAATGCCCATAGCATCACTGGACTTGTTTAAGTTGGGCACTAGTTAGCATCCCATGTGAACTCACTTTAACTAACCTGAATTTGTCTAGGAAACAGGACATGGTTGCTCTAATGTCTTCTCTTGAATCTAGCTAAGATCATCAATACCATTTCCTGGACATTGGTATCTTGGAAAAGAACAGATGAGTTATGCTAACCATGCTAGATAGCACTCATACACAGCACCCATTCAGTTGCTAGGAGAAATCCCCAAGTGTACAGTCATAGAAAACAAACAATGATGTTTCTTTAGCTCAACTGTTCAGTGAACCAAATCTCGGCACCCTCCACCTGGCTTCAACTCAGGTAGATTATATTCTTAGCTTTACCATCATGGTGTCATTTGTGGTCCTAGAAATACTTTTTCATCATCCACAGCTAGTTTAAAAATGAGCACTTACATAAGTCAGTGGTGAGCAAATTAATGAAAGCAAATCAGAAAGTATGAATACCAGTTCTGTGCTGCATGCTAAAATACAAATAATTTCGGTAGACACATTTTCATCTTAAACTGTAGAACAACAAAAAAAAAAACATTGAAAGTTGCTTTGAGGACAGCTGTATGTGGAGAGTTGGAACTTTTTCTATGAACTGGATAGCATATTTGCTGATTTCTATTAAACTTTTCACAAAAGAAAGTATTAGTGCTATGATTAGAATCAAAACCTGAGGGATGCATAGGTCCAGATGAAGAACATGCAAAGGACATTCCAGGAAATGTAAATAACCCACTTAGTCATCTCTATTTCTTGTATTTGGAGATTGTGCATCTAAGAGAAACAGTGTAGGAAGAATGAGAACACTGCTATACAGTTGTTACTTAGAGACTTCTAACATAGTCTAGGACACTATTCATTATTTTTTTCCTTTTTTTATTTGAACTAGAAACAAGCTTGTTTTACATGTCAATCCCAGTTCCCTATCACTCCCCTTCTCCCGTACACTCCACCAATCCCATATTCCAACCCATTTCTGCTATCCAGGAAGGATTAGGCCTTCCATGGGGGGGATCTTCAAAGTCTGCCATATCATTTGGAGCGGGGTCTAGACACTCCCCCATGTATCTAGGCTGAGAGAGTATCCCTCAATGTGGAGTGGGCTGCCAAAATCCATTCACGTGCAAGGAAGAAATACTGACCCACTACCAGAGGCCCCATAAATTAACCAAACTTCCAAACTTATATCCACATTCAGGGGGTCTGGAATAGTCCTCACTGGTTTCTCAGCTATCAGTCTAGGTTCCATCAGCTCCCCCTTGTTGAGGGCAGCTGTTTCTGTGGGTTTCTCCAGACTTGACTTGACCCCTTTGCTCATCAGTCCTCCCTCTCTGCAACTGGATTCCAGGAGTTCAGCTCATTGCTTAACTGTGAGTGTCTGCTTCTGCTTCCATCAGCTACTGGATGAAGGCTCTAGGATGACATATAGGGTAGTCATCAATCTCATTATCAGAGAAGGGCATTTAAGTTACCCTCTCCACTATTGCTTAGATTGTTAGTTGGAGTCAACCACGTACATCTCTGGACATTTCTCTTCAAACCTATAATGGCTCCTTCTGGTATCTCTTTTCTTGCTCTCCTCTATTCTTCCCCTGACTCAATCTTCCTGCTCCCTCATGTCCTTCTCCCCTTTTCTTTCTCCTAACTCCCTCCTCACTGCCCCCCCATGCACCCAATTGGCTCAGGAGATTGTGTCCTTTTCCCCTTTTCCAGGGAACCATGTATATCTCTCTTAGGGTCTTCCTTGTTTCCTAGCTTCTGTGGCGATGTGAATTGTAGGCTGGTAATCCTTTGTTCTATGTCTAAAATCCATATATGAGTGAGTACATACCGTGTTTGTCTTTTTGTGACTGGGTTACCTCACTCAGGATGGTTTCTTCTAGTTCCATCCATTTGCCTGCAAATTTCAAGATTCCATTGTTATTTTTTTCTGCTGAGTAGTACTCCATTGTGTAAAAATACTACATTTTCTCCATCTATTCTTCAGTTGAGGGACATCTATGTTGCTTCCAGGGTCTGGCTATTACAAATAATGCTGCTATGAGCATGGTTGAACAGATGTCCTTGTATGAATGTGCATATTTTGGGTATATGCCTAAGAGTGGAATTGCTGGATCTTCTAGCAGAATGATTCCCATTTTCCTGAGGGACCGCCATACTGACTTCCAAAGTGGCTGTAGCAGTTTGCACTCCCACCAGTAATGAACAAGTGTTCCCCTTTCTCCACATCCTCTCCAGCATAAACTTTCATTGAAATTTTTGATTATAGCCATTCTGACAGGAGCAAGATAGCATCTCAGGGTTGTTTTGATTTGCATTTCCCTGATGGCTAAGGATGTTGAGTACTTCCTTAAGTGTCTTTCAGCTATTTTAGAATCCTCTATTGAGAATTCTCTATTTAGTTCTGTATACCATGTTTTAATTGGATTATTTGGTTCTTTGGTGGCTAGCTTCTTGAGTTTTTTGTATATTTTGGAAATCATCCCTCTGTCAGATG